CCCCCCCCCTACAGCCATTGCTGTCATCTTCAAACACCAAAACCAACGCATTTCCTGTTTTCAATGTATTTATTTGGTCAGATCACATGCAGTATGTTGACATTAGTTTTACATTATATAAAAATACACGCCACTCGAGTCTAAACTATTGGTATATGAAAACTGCAAGCGAGCATGAACTTTAACAAGAATAGGAGACCAACAGCAAACACAGCACTTGCAAATTGGTGGAAAATAAAATTCATTACAATAAATAATAAACAGGTAATGATGGGATGAGAAGCAGAATGGCTTTTATAAAGGCAGCCATGCATATAACGGGGAAAAATTCTAGACATGGTACATCATGTACATTATAGATTGCGACACTTTAGCTGGTTACTTAAGAGGAGGGACCTCCGAATGGGAACATTCGCGTAAACTGACGTGCTCAAGGACACAACGTTGGGCCGAATTGAACCTCGAAGCCCTAACTACGAGTCCCGTTGCCTAACCACTAATTCAGAGCCGTAAATATTTATAATCATTACATAAGACTACCGACGCCAGTATAATGTTAATATGCATGTACGAGCATATTATACGTAAGTATTATGGAGCTAATCAGAGAAGTTACAGATTAGTTTCAATGCTACAATGCTTGATTTCTGTAATACTAATACGATATGTATGTATTCGTTGAGATGACGGATAAATGATACTGATCCGTAAATCAAATTTACCCTTCCCTACTTTTCCACCCCAAAGACATAACTTCTGCATGCCAGCTGGAGCAAGTGTCATTCTATTCTTGAACTTTACTTAATGATGAAACGTAAGACTTTTATACCCAACATAATATTGTCATAAAAATGATTATTAGCTTAAATACATGTATCTTCAATAAATTAATCTCAAATATTTTCAGTTGGTTGGGTGTGATATCTATGTGTGTCATTATTCACTTTTGATGTATACATAATGGAACAAAATACCTGTTCAGCTGTGACAAATCCAGACAAAAAGCAAAGAGAAAGTTTTACTTGATTTGCCATCTTTTTCTATGTAGAATAGTTAAAGTGAATGATAGGGCCTAGTTATCCAAATAAGACAATAACAATGACAAAAAGCATAAATAAATTAACGTTAGAAGACTCCCACAACTCTTTGCAAAATTCATTATTTTGATTAAAGCTTAATAAAGCCAGTCACCTCACGTGTGACTGTGGGTCTGTTTGTAAGTTTAAATAGAAATCATGTTTGTATATATGTATTTTATGTGTGTGGAACGGAGAATGTGTGAGAGAGTATCTGTATATGAGTGTGTGTGTGTGTGTGTGTGTGTGTGTGTGTGTGTGTGCGTGTGTGTGTGCGTGTGTGTGTGCGTGCGTGTATGCGTGTGTGTGTGTGTGTGTGTGTGTTATATCTGGGACCACGGTTCGTTTAAGAAATCGTGCTGGCCGGTGTGGCGCAGCTGATCACAAACCTGATGAACACGGGTTCGAATCCGAGTTGAGATTGTCATTTTTCTCTTCATTCCAGGAAACTTAAACCGCAGGGTTGTCACTGATCCAAATCGAGGGTCGGTTTTGTCCATGTTGAGTAGCTTTCCTACAGTGCCTAGGTCCTTCAGAAGATAAGATCCAGTTTCTCCACACTGGACATACTGGTCCTAGTGGTAGTAGCAGAGCCGCCTCTTTTCATGGGTTTTATCTCCGGCAACCTGGGGTGGATGGAAAAGAAAATGCGTCATTCAAGATTCAAGTTGTAAGGCGTCATAATAGAATTATTATATTCAACAAATTGTAATTGTTGAAAGAATTTTTTGG